CGCTTTCTGACCCAGACTTTGGTAATGGTATTAGGGCGGTGATCGTTACTAACGGGGTGTAACAGGACTGACATGTGATCCGATTGTCCAATAGCAGGGAGTATTTCAGGGTCATTGTAACAACGTTTCATATTAGTAAATATTAAATCTAAAGTTGCATTCTCACGGGTAGGTTTCTTTACAATTTGTTCAAGTGACGTGTTTCTGCAAAGGCGTTTGGAGTCGAACTGGTTAAAGTCACCCATAACAATTACACCTGCTGTTGGGTAAGATGCTAAAATTTTGTCCAACGAGGCTATGAGGTGGTCACACAGTTCGTTATGATCGGCCTGTGGTGGATGGTATATAAGACCAACAACTATGCAGGAATATTCCCGTGGAAGTCGATAGGGTCGAAGTTTTAGCTTAGTTTAGTTCTAGCCACAGAGTCTCGTGATCTGGACAACATAAGTCAGGAAGAGGCAAAAATGGGATTTTTGATTTTACGAATGCACAAACTCCACCCCGGCGTTGACCAGAGCGGTCTTTTCTAACCAGGTTAAAATCATGGATATTTATACAGCTATCCGGGATGCTAGGATTCAACCATGTCTCTATAATTCCCGCAAAATCTATGCCATTTCTTTGGACGACAACATCAAAATCATCTACTTTATTGGATATGGATCGTACATTGGAAAGAAAAAATTTGGGATGGGTAGACATCAGGCCTTGAGATGGTAAGATTTCTGTATCTGAGCTAGACATTGTCATAGAATTGCTGACTTGAGTATCTATTAAATTAGGTAGCGGCCCTGCTTTTAATGGGTTTTCTAATGTAACGTTGATCAGGTTATGCGGATTACTTCTCAGTTTAGCACCAGTAATCTGTTCACGGATTCGACCAGATACCACCTTGATCGGGTAGATGGTAGGAGAACTTTCGGTTAGAAAAACTGTGTCAGTTTTTGTCGACCATGCATATAGGGCGTTGTCATTTGATGGACAAAGTCTAAGTACGTTTCCCATTCTAAACTTTGTGTTAGTCTCTCGGATCGTAGTGGGGGGTGGTATTTGGTCTGGTCCCATCGAAAATGGGGCGTAATTGGATTATTGCGATGGATAACTGGTCGCTTGAAGTTCTGGCCTTTACGTATACACCGGTTGTTGTACTTATTCTTATGAAATTGTTGATGCGGTGCTTCTGGATTATATCTACTTCGAAAAGTGCTTTCATAAAGTAGATTTTTTGATGGAGCCGGATTAGGTGCTTCAATCAAAGGGAGGTGACCAAGCCATTCTCGTTCATCATTCACTATAATGGTGTTATTTACTGTGGTAGCTGGCACGTTATTCGTAATGTTATGCTTATCCACTTCAGATACACATTCATCAGCTATTATACTATTGTCTGTAATAGTAGTTGGTAAATTATTCGTAGTGTTATTAGGTGCTTCAATCAAAGGGAGGTGACCAAGCCATTCTCGTTCATCAGTCATTATAATGGTGTTATTTACTGAGGTAGTTGGCACGTTATTCGTAATGTTATGCTTATCCACTTCAGATACACATTCATCAGCTATTATAATGGTACTATTGTCTGTAATAGTAGTTGGTAAATTATTCGTAATGTTATGCTGTTCCGCTTCAGATACGCGTTCATCAGCAATTTCAATTGAGACCATAGAGACTTCATGCACGGGTGCCTTATCATTTAGGCAATGGCAATCATTGGGATTTACAGAATCGTCCAGAACAATTAATGCTTGTTTCTTGGTTGATATTGTGGGAGCTTTTGTTTTTACTTTGATTGATTTGGATGACTGATTTGGCGCTTCATTTGTTCGGCGTTCTACTCGTTGATAATTTAAAACTTTAGTGATAGGTTTACTATTGTCTACATTATTTGTTTCATTATGTTCAATTGTTGACAAGAGAGCGCAATGATGAGTTGAGTCATAATTTATTCCACTTTCAATGTTATTCAGTCTATTTTTGCAGGTTTCCAGTTCGGTCGTTAACTTATTGATATTTTCAACTAATTGGTGATTATCGTTAACTAGCCGGCTACCGGTGCACGTTTGATTCCCATCCAGAGATTTCGCCGTATTTTGTGGGTGATAATTAGATTGTTTAATTAATGCAAATTCGGTGATCATTTTGAATTTTTTTTAATTCGCTGTGAATTCCGGTGATCGCTTGAGTATTAGAATGTATTTCAGTCGACAATTTTGATTCCATGATCACCGTATCCAATTTAACACCCTCAAGGTCGGTAGAAAATTCGCTGCGATATGATTCAAACCCGCAACAATTATTACCGATCGCAGAAATTAGGTCAACTTGTGTGCTGGAATCGCGTATATTTTCCCTCCCACTTACAGCAGTAACATTGTTTTTCGTCAGTAAACTCGACACACACTGGTAGACTTTGTTCATCATTATAGATAATCCATCTACCTTTTGCATCGTTTCAGCCATCTCCGCCGCTAAATGACAGCACTTTAGGCATTCCGTGCTCTGATTTTGAATTCGAGAGACTTGCACTGTGTTAGGGGGATGCAATACGGATCTTTCACTATGAATATTATTTGTAGAGATGTTG